ATCGTTATTCAATCCGCGCATATTAATAATGATTCCAGCACATATTATTCGTGCAATCTAATTTTTATCACATAAAGACTAGAAATACATTTTAATTTTAAATATATTTTTGTTGATGATGAACTTCACTAAGAATAAACATTTCGGACATAATGTTCATAAAAATACCGACTTATTTTTAAATTTCATAATCATTTGTGGGTCAATGCGTTAATCCCCTAAGCGATCCATTGATTCTTAGTCTGTAAAATGATTTACATAATTATCTTCGATTACGCAATGCAACGTCGAAACTAAAGAATAAATGCTATTAATACTCGATTACGTCTTCTATCAAATTAAAAGATCATTCTGGAATCTTCTCCATCTCTATGTGAAATAAATGATGATCGAAACATAACCCTATAAAACGGTGTACCTGTTCTTACAAATAATAAAGCATCACCGTAAAATTAATCTTTTTCAAAAGCGAATCCATCAAGTTTAGTTACTAAATATCTACACACCCACGATTATTATTCTAATCGAATTTCTTTGCATAAATGCAACCATTTAACATTTCGGAAAATATGCCTTTATGATGGTAACCGCTTCTTTGTTTTTTGCCGTTACAAAGATGTTTCCCGAAAATATCCATTTATGTGTGGGGTTCATCACCATATGGTTCTTTCTGTATAATGTCAGACAAAAAATTGTCGATGAAACAAACTCTCGTGAAACCAAAATCAACACTACTATCGCTGAACAAATCGACAAGATCAAAGCCAAAATTAATAATGATCTTACCACAAAAATGGGTCTCATGACACTAACTATGCAACGAAAGCACAAAATATTATTAACATGATAACTGGAAATATAATGAAATCGAGCAAGTTCTAGAAACCTACCATAATAATTTTAGTCAAATTGCAACTGATTTCGAATCGGTCGGCAGGATAAACACAACGCTCCAGAGCAAAATCAATCAATGACACTTCCTTGTCCAGATTGTTAATCTGACCAGCAAAGTGAGGCGTCAAGGCAACTTTGAAGAAGCACACTAAACCGACACTAATATCTTGTGAACATAGACCTCTGGTGGCTTACCATGTCTGTAGGAGTTGTGCCCTGCTTGGCATTTGTGCTCCTAAATTTGACAACTAATTCCAACCAGCCCCTCTGGATATGTCTACTAGGAGACAGGGACCCTGGGAGTGGGTGGTTAATAACCATCTGTCTGGCCTATATGGGTCCCTGCAGAGTCATGCCCCAATTGGTCAAAAAGGACCTCTAGGTTTAGTAGCAGGTGACCAATCAGAGGATAAAATAGGTTTGGAGTATTCACTAGGGAGTGCAGACCCACATGAAGTTCCTCTGTAGCATTAGCTGTGTGAGCGAAAAGATGTGTAGTGATATCTTCCACTGATTCATTGTCTTCTGCTCGTCCATTATCTTCCACTTATTCATCAAATTCTTCAGATTCAAGTCAAAGATTCGCAAATATCATCTCTGTAAGCTGGGAATAGTTTTCAGATATCTTTGATAAGGTTAAGGGTACGAATGATTGATTATACTTTAGATCAGATGTGTAATATTGTATCGACTGATATTCTTAGTCTTGGGATGGGAGCAAATTGGAAAAGATACAATAAAGGGTTTTTACAATGGGAATAGTATAAGAAGCGAAAATTTAGAAAAGATAGGTGCTTGGATAGATAACACTCATTTACACCTTTGAGTAGCGGGAAAGGAACTGCCATTATATGGGTTAGGGCTCGGCAGGCTTAACAAGCAGGCGTGTTTTTTATGCCTTTCCTCCCTTGAAACATCCTGCTACTCTATTATTTTTACTTAGCCGGCCAACAACGGGAGGGAAATGTCCCTTACTGTGATAGACAAATAAAAATACAACAGCCAATCAAATAAACATAATCGGAAATTGAATAAATATGTTGTATGATGTAATGCGATCTTCCTAAAAAAATTTTTTTTCGATGTCTAAAGAAGCTAGCTCGAAGCTAAAATACTTGGGTATGTTACTTTATGTCTATAACTACTTTCACAATGAAAAATGCAAGTCTGAATATTCTGATGCCAGATTACTGGAACCGTGATCCCAACACATGGGGAAGCGTAAACGATTGGGATTTTTACTGGATCGAAAAACGACCTTCAATGATGTCAATCACTAAACACGATTCACATACGGCCTTGGCTCATGAGTTAAGGTGTTTGAAACAAGCATATGAAGATACCCATCCTGCCTACAAGAAAGCCTGTGTATTGCAGGATGAATTACAGGGAAGTTATCCAGTGATGGTGGCTTGACGCAATTGACAGGTGGTGCCGGCGTACTCCATAGCTAATCCAGCAACTGTGGGTTGAGAAGGTTTTGCCGTGGGTAAAATCGATGGGTAGTGCCGTGTGTACGTGGCCGTGGAAACGTTGGGCCAGGTCGTGGCGTCTGGACAGGGAACTCTTCACTTGAGCTAAACTCGTGGGCCGTGGCGTCACCGGGGGAGGGCCGTGGCGTCTGTGGCTTCTCGTGAACTTCCTTCCCATCAAATATCTCAAAAGTGCATTTATTAAACCTCTTAGATTGCTATTAAAACTGTTTTTTTTTTCATGTAGAGTATTGCAAAAAACGAATCAAACAAATGTATATGGGAAACAAAGAATCGAATCGCATCAACAAAAATAGAATCCGAACTGATTGAACTGGAGTTAGAAATTGAAAGGGCAAGTAATTTTATTAAACCCTTTGTTCCCTCATAACAGCTCGTTATTCAATTCTTGTTGAAATTGTTATTGCAGAAGAAGGGAAGACAAGCAGTCCATCAAATAGCACGACGGGGATGTCAAGCATATTCTGATATAGAATTTGGTCCTGTGGAACGAGAGCAGAAGAGGATTAGAGTGAATGAAAATGAGGCAGTTGAAGATTCCTCTCCCATTACCATTCCTCCCTATACCAGTGTTCATATTCCTCAAAGCTCAACAGGTATTGATTCCTATTTCAAAAAATATCAATTCTGCAACTTCAGCTGTTAAATCGTCAGGAGCCGAGTTTCAAGAGCAATAACGTAAAGTTTATGTTGAAAGCATAAAGAACAGAGAGATGACATCGAGTCCTAAAACCCCTTCTAATGATAGCACTGAAGTGCTTGAGGATGACGAAGAAGTCAAATTTGATCTAGAAAATATTTCCAGTGAATTGAAGCGCGAACCAACGGTTGAAGTATGTCAAATGTCAAATTCATGTACTGCCTGTATCTCACAATTTACTTCCTTGTATAGTGGAAAGTCGGTTCTATAAACATAACCGCTAGATTTCGGCAATATCAGGAAGATGTTCTTCAGAAGGCGAAGAGAGAGGGTTTAAAATATGATAATATTTATGAACTTTTGTATGTTAACATTTGATTAGCGCAACGATCATATTAGGATATATTGAGCACCTTTTTCTCATTGCCTTTAGAGCTTTGTCGTCATAGTTCTGTGTTGGCCATGTCCGTACCCTATGTTCACTAATCAAGAATGGAAAGAAATAACCAAAACTAATCCTTATATTATAAACGAACCGCCACTTCCACCGGAGGTTTCATCTTCTCTTCATGATACGATTAGTAAACATTTGATTGGCGAAGATGTCTTCATGGATTGTGGAAAAGCTCAGTTTAATAGGATGGTTGCACTCATGTTTAACAACCTGTAAGTTTACTTGTTTCGTATAATATGTTTAATTGTGGCTTACATAAGTTCTTTTAACACATTACAGATATTGTGGTATTCCAAAGGTTGCTCCATCCAAGTTGTCCGAGGAAGAGCACTGTGATATGTTCATTTATCCAATTATTCGTTCGTTTCATGGATCTGAAAAAGAATATACACTTAGATTAAATCGTGCCAACGCAGGCTCAAAGACAAGACCGGACCTTTCTTGTACGGTGACTGACATACCAATCTTAAGTTCGGAGTTTAAGCCATTGGGTTGCACACCATTACAACAGAAGAAAGATAAATTGAAAGTTCAACTAAAAGGATTAATCAGCAATTGGAAAGTAAGGGGGGTCCAGGTGAATCTGTCATGTTTCTAAACATGGGTATGTATGCTTGCAATAAATTACAAGGGAGTTTAATGTTTTTTATAACGTACTGAATTATGCTTCTACAACAACCAGGTGATTTAATGGAATGATTCATCATGGATCTGAAGTACGATGGGTTGTACCGCTCCTGGCCATTTCTCACAACCAAACTAGTGGTCGACAAGGCTACGATCCCATTAGTAGAGTTTGCGATCAGTCATTTTGTGGCTTTGGAGGTATGACACGTTTTCTTTGAGCTAATGATACATTTTTCTCACAAATTTCACTTACTCAGGAACGTGTTGGAAATATCGCGAAGAACTTCAAATATCGAAGCAGTCAATTTACACCACCCGCACAGATGTACTTTGTGCGCAAACTTCCAGATTCTCCCCAAGTAAAGATGCTACTTCATTAGAGTCAGTCAATTTATAATAGTAATGTCTGCCTGATTTTATCATCAATAAAACAATGACTGTTTATATAATCGTGTAACAAAACGATATTTGATATTAATTTTTTCGGAAAATGTTATGCATTATTTAGGCATATAATAGAGTATAGTCACACCAGGAAATTAATTAGTACACCCGAAATAGATTATGAATTATCCCAAATGTAGATCCACACCCGAAATAGATTCCACATGTCAAAAATAGATCATAATATATCCAAGTTCTGCAGTACACGAGCAATTTATACATTCTTTAGAATCAACTCTAAACTATTGCAAAGCAGGTCATCAGGCGATGAATAGGGATTCGAGCTCTGCTCTTCTTCAAATCATGACCCTTCGGGTCTACAATTCTCGCTACAATCCAATATGTATCTATCCCATTCTCATTATATACTTCACTTGCAAAATATGGCGAATATACATAACCTATCCGATAACCCAGGCCCTATAGGGCGCTCTTCGAGCATCTGCGCTAAAAATAAATCTGGTTTTAATCATATATATTGTACCAAATCTAATAGGTCTAAATCTCTAAAATTCGATATAACTTCCATAAATACTACAAATAGATTATATACAATGGCTAGCTTAAGTGAAAGACGTGGAACCAATTGTACCAATGCTGAATGGGATGAATATATAGAGATGCCTCAAGTTCGTTCTAATGAAACTCCTAGCGAGTGGATGAAATGGATCTGGGAACGTTTAATGTATTTTAGAGAAAATGATCTCTTACCTTATAATAGCAAAAAATATCTTGAAGCTAGGAAATTAATATGATTCCCAGATGGCAGTTCATATGCTCCTGAAATCGGAATAGCAATATGTTTCTCTTGTGATCAATTAATATATACTGGACAAAGAACTAAGAATATAGGAAATTATAACCATATAGAAATGGAAAAACATTGGAAATTTTTTTGTAAGGGTAATAAATACTGCGGTGTAAATTATGAAGAATATATGCAGATTAAGCAAAAATCTATTTCTGAACAGAATTATGATAATATGTATGCATTACACCGTTATGAATTATGGATGCAAAATATTATTAGAAAAGTTAAACGTGCCAAGGAAATTGGTAAGAAAATTCGAGCATGTACAATAATACAGCATAAATTTATTGAATATATGTATAAACCCTATGGTTTCTGCACTTCAGAATTAGAATTACATTATCAATTATTATGAGCAGTTCGAAAAGAAATACATCAAATCAATAATGTATAGGTATTAATATCAATAAAATGATTTATTACAACATATAACAACATATAACTTATCTATTTATCTGCTTTATATATTTTTTTCATGTTAATTGTTTTTACATCTACTTTAACTAGCCATATAAACGTGATTTTATCCTAACCTATATGGATCACGGAACCCAATTCAATATTAGCTCTAGTGCTGAGTGATAAAGTCATGAGATGGTGGGATATCACGCTTTATTCATCTAATTTCAGAGGAGTGTTCCAACCGAGTCTAACTGCTAGAGGATCATCTACTGCCTTAGTAAAATCAAAAACCACAAATTCTCAATTTTGCAAAAGTTTATCAATTATTTTGGATGCTTTTTTTGGATTATCTGTATATTGTCGCACGATTCTATGAATATCGTCTCGGTTCCCAGCTCCTCAAAACAGTGCAAGATGGCTCAGATTTTTGCGGATAATTTTAGGTGTTTGTGTATATTTCTGTGACACATATATTGGCGATATATTTTGGTGCCGGCCACTAATGAAGTAAGAAATAATTCATTCTTGTACTTTTTTCGATTCGACACATAGATCCTCAAATACAACAATTGTACTTCAATCTGGTGAGAATTTGATTATATCTGGAATTTTATCTGAAGATACTCTTTTAAATGTGACATCTTCTCAATATGGTTTAGGCACATTCGCAAAGATCTGAAAGCTATTTTGTACAAGTTGCTATTTCGGCTCAAAATGCTTGCCTATTAATATAAGATTATTGTTTTTGATATAACGATTTCCTTTCTTACCTTTAAACATTTGCTGCAATTTCTTACCCAGCATAAGATTAATTACTATATTAGTTTTTCCACTATTGGATCCTCCATATACTAGTAATCTGAATAGCCAATCAGGTGCAGATTTATTAGATTTTATTTGTTCTGAGGATTTGTTTGATATTTCATCGATGGCATATACAAATATGGGCATGCCTTTATCTTTCATCCCGATTAAGCTAAGCAATACTATTATTATATCAAAAAATAATAATTCAGTTAGCTCCGTTATAATGATATACCTGACTTACTATTTGTATCCAAATATCAGCCGATAATATTAAGAGTGGGGTTTTTATTTTGCAAGGTTATGATTGCATTTGTGCTGATTTTTTCACAACCCTCAATATTAAGTTTTTGAAGATTGTGTAAATTTGCTAATGTGGTTATAGATACATCACTAATATCACAATATTCAAGTTGGAGGCCTTCAAGATTAGAACAAAGCTGTGCTATTTTACAAACAGACTCGTCAGATATGAGTTCACACCCATTAAGATTGAGATATTTAAGTTCTGAGTTAGATTGTGTGATTTTTTTAATTGATATATCAGTAACCCCCTTACAATTCTCCAACACATATTTTTGCATATTTGGATATGCTGAAGCAATTGCATATACCACATAATCAGTTATTTTAAAACAATTAAATAAGCTTAGAGTATAAAGTTTCGAACATGATTCAGCAATCTCGATTATAGATGCACCAGTAATATTCTCATTATGATTTAATTTCAGGTGGCACAAATTAATACATAAGTGAGCAATTATCTTTAAAGATATATCAGTTATCTTAGAAGCGCTAAGCCTTAGGTACTGTAGATTTGAACTTGAATAAGCAATTTTACACAAAGTTATATCTTTTATATCCCAGTACTTGCCAAATCATTTTATATTTTTTATATTGCATGATACATTAAGAGATTTCAAATGGCAAATTTGTACGATTTTACTAATGACTCTATTGGATAGACCACAACACCTTTTGATTTTTAAATGATGTAAATTAAGACAGAATCCAGCAATCTTATATAGTATATCGTTAGAGACTATACAACTAGAGATATAAAGTTGAAGTAAATATGAAGCATGAGATTTTCGATCCCACATATTACTTTTTTAAATTTATCCTATTGCATACATGATTTTTTTAGATTGCTGGAAAATTCAGCTCTTTTCCATAATATAGTGGCAGAGTGAAAATACTATAATCGATTGACAAATAAGCTTGGATATAGAGCTTCATCTGTGTCAAGATGATAAAATATATCAGTTAAAATCTCAGGCAAGTTTAGTGGATGCATTTTATTATATGTCATACTTATAAAGTTATTTTTTATCCTGTAAATAACCTTTCTTAGTTAAAGTGTTTCGAATAAATTTATATAAATCTGCATCATATGGTATTTCAATAAGATCTATACCTCGCTCTTTACATATATCCCGCTTTTTTTGATCATGCGATCTTTGATTATCTAGATCATTTTGATTTTTGTAGTATAAACTATTGTGATGATAATGTTGAACCCCATTATATTCCCATGCCAATTTTAATTCTTTATTGTATCCATCTAATTGCATCCCATTCAAAAATGACGGCTTACATGATGGGAATTTCTTACCTAACAGATCCTCAAAAATATATCTACATCTCCGCTCATTGCTATGATGGAAGCAAATTGGACACTATTCAAATTTTGTAGCTATTAACAGATATGGATGTTCCTACTGATGGTTTCCGTTTTCACAAGACCAGAGATATACATCGAAATCATTTATTTGGTCAGTTTTACCAAGACATTTTCCATTACGCTTCTCGGCATATTGTTAAGCCTTGGTTATTTTATTAATAATGTGAACAAAATTAACAGATCTGTAGCAAGTATTTTCTTCCAATATACTCTGAGGTGGATACTGAAGTTTTTCTAAATCTATGTGCATAAGCTCTTCTCTCACAAATCCTCGTCTTGGAGCATATTCACCTTCTAAGTAATATAAAACCGGTTCATTTTTTGTCATTACTATTTTTCGAATTTTAAATAAAGTTAGACTCCATACTGGATTTGTGGCTCTTTTCTGATTCTCCATACCTCCTTCCCATTCTGCATTAGCAAGCAGATAGCGAACTGTATTACCTTTTTTCAACATATTCTCCTCATCCTTTCCAACAGGACACTTATAATTTGTAGATGGCCTAGATTCCACTCATTCCAGTTTAATAGCTTTTGCTGAAGCTAAACCTCATTTTGATGAACCTGGAGCTTGAATAAGATGTGTCGGATAATTATTAAGATAATCTATTACTTTTGGCAAATACTTGACCTACTCTTTTATTAATTTAGGATTTTTAGATATTTATTCAATGGCATACTGGATTTTATAAAGCATTTCTGCTAATGTCTTATTGAATCATTCTACAAGAACTAATCCACGATGACTATAAGCACCAATTACTCAAATTGTAACATTATTCACTTCCATTAATCGAGCAGTTTCACCCATGAATTCTTTACCACTGTCACATTGTAAAAGTATTGGGTACTTAAGAGGGTTATTGGAATTATCATAAATTTTTTTAAATGCTTTAGCAACTTCAGAACTATTCTTTGATATTAAAGAAACACTGGCTTTGAATTTGTTAGACACATCTATAATCTGTAATACTGCTTTCCATATCTTCTCCTTATATTTATCATGCATAAGAAATAAGAGGTCGCACTGATGTACACAATTTGGTTTTTGAATTTTTCCATAACTTACCCATGGAGTATCTTTTGGTAACGGAGCATACTTTTGCCATTCATTCTGGTTATGTAACCATTCACGAACTTTTTTATATGGGAATTTATATCCTTCTTTTTTACATGCATCTCTTAAAGCTTTTGCATTAGAATGATAACCAGTAGGTCGGTAAAAAAGCATGCCCAAAACAATTTGCAATTCCTCATCTGGATCAATTCTAATAATAGGCTTGCTCAATTTGCTCATCTTGATATTATGATTATACTATAAACTAGAATAAATTTCAATGGTCTCTCTTGAAGCACAGATTCAAAAATTGGAATATAAATTGTCTCAAGTTGAAAATTATATCTTATATCTTGAAAAGCAAATTACAGATTGTAATAATGAAATTGATATTCTCAAATCAGAAAACATAAATCTTAAGAAGTGTCTTAAAAAGGCATTACAAGATGTTGAGAATAAGAATAAAAATAATATTTTTCTTGAGACTCAATTACTAGAAATGAGTAATTAAATATCTCTACTTCAACATAGAATCCAACAATTACGTCAAAATATTAGAATGTCAAGTAATATCGCTGATAGTTCTGAAACAGTTCTTACATTATTAATTAAGGTCTGAGATAATTTTAAATATTTAGCCGATTGTTATAGAGTAAATGATGACCCATTGCTTTTTGATGAAATTGATAATCTTTAAACTCAAACTGAATTGAGGATAACTCAAATCGAAAATAAATATAACTATGAGATTGGTCACCTAAGAGAAGGTATTATTGAAGAAAATAAAATCCGTCTATTTGTTTAATAACAAATTATAAATGAGCAAGTAGATATAATCCAAAATCAGCAGGATTTTTTCAATGAATTGGCAGAAAAAAACCAGACTCTTCAAGACCAGTTAGATTTATATCGTACCGAAAATTACAGATTAACAGAATCCATAATTGATATTCAAGAGGAATTATTGGAAACTCAGCAAAACTTTGAAGACCAGTCAATAGATTATGTAGAAGTATCTGAAAATTTTGTAGAACTGGAAAATGAATATAACAAGTTAAAAGAGTGCTTGCGTATTTTAGGTTTAACATATGTTGGAGTCAGATGCAGAGCCTTAAATAATTTTCAATAGATTTATCGACGATATACTATTTATAGAAATAGAACATATCAAGCCAAAAGAGGTTTATAAGAATGTCATGCTAATGAGGCCATGTTAGAATATTGGCGTGACCAACTTATAGCCAGATATCAAAAGTGGAAAAATAAAAGCATTATTATAAGATCTTGTGAATTATATGGGCGATTAATCATCCGAGCACAAAGAAGACGTAATGTCACATTATTGACAGAAAAATTTGCACAACATCAATTAATTTTGAATTTACGTGGACAAATTTTATTGCTACAGAATAATCCACCTATAAATAACCAATATAGAGAAATGGCAAGATATTCACCACCTGCATTTTACGGAAAAGCTGGAGAAGATTCTGAAGAATGGATTAGAGATTTTAGACAATATTGTGAAGCATCTGGACTTGATCCACTTGCAGATACTCAATCCAGAGTAAAAATTCATGGACTTTTTGAGACTTGTTTAAGAGACGATGCAAAAGATTAGTATGAAACTAATCTCAAAACTAAAAATTGGGAATTGCAAAATATTAGTGACAATACTAACTTGGCTAATCTTGGTGCTATTAATGGATTGGCCAACAATAATGCATTGCGTGCTATTAATGCCAATCAGTTTCAAGGCGGAGCTCTTCAAATAAGAAATACAGTTCCAGCCGACAACAATGCAATTGCTATACCATTAGTACCAGCACATACTGTTTTTGATGAAAATTGGTTGATATCTGGTGGTCAATCAACAGAATTAACACCTAATGCTCCTAATGCTAATGCAGGAGGAAATATTATAGCTCCGGGGATTCGCATTGGACAGATACTATATTGGTTTAGAACCAATTATTCCACAATAACTGCTGAAAAATCAAAAGTAGTATTTTATAATATTACTCAAGGTACCAACCCTATAGGTCGTTTTTATGCAAAATTGAAAAGAATGGTTGGTCTTGCCTATCCAGCACTTCCAGAATTAAATCGAGAAGAAATGGTTAGACAACAATTCTTTCAGGATCTTTCTTCTTATAACAAAATAGAAGTAAGACGTATTGGTCTCGAATATCCAATTTCCACTTTACTACCAAAATTAGAAGAAATCGAAAGACAGAAAGCTGAAATGATGTTAGGTTAATATGACCCCAATTCTCATCCAGTCATCTCTTATTTACAATCGACAGCTAATACAAAAGATTCTTATATAACTGGTAGCACAGGTATGACCAAAGACAAAATTGAAAATCTGATAAAAGGTATTATGGCATCCTCTCAAGTCCAGCAAATACCAGTTCAACAATCTCAACAAATTACACAGATGCCCCTTCAATATAGACCACATCCTGCTGGGACATATCAGACTTTACAGAATACAAATATGGATAGATTTATACAATGGATTAATGGAGAAGTTTCAGAGTTCATTCCTATCCCCAAACCCGAATTATCTCCAAAACTACAGATAAAGAGAGTTGAAGTTGACTCTGACGAGAAACTAGCTAATCTTACATAAAGGCAATTAAAATTACATATTGCCAAAGCCATTAAAAAAGCTGTTAAGAATTCGTCCCAACATAGATGCACAATTTGCAATAGGAGCAGGCACAATTCTCACAATTGTCTTAAAAAGAAGAGCAAATCAAAAAAAAAATCTAAGAATAAAGCTAAGGTAAATATTGCTATCATAGATTCGAGTTCTGGATCTGATACTAACTCTTTTGATAATGAATCTGATTCTGGAATGGAATCCGCTTCTGGTTCTGAATCAGAATCTGATTCTGAGAATGACTTATCTGAGACTGAAATCGCAAAAATTATCAATGCTGCTGTCAAAGCAAAAAAAAACAAATAAAATCTAAATCTAAGGAACCTAAAATCAAGAAGGAATCCAAATCCTGCAAGACAAAACAGAAAGGTACTTCCACTTCTGATAAGCCTAGAAATAAATCAACCGTTATTGATAAGTCTCTCCAAAAAATTGTATTAGATATGCTTAACGGTATTGCACCTGTAGATTGGATAGAAAAACTTAAAGCCAAGATAGAGAATCTATCCAGACCCTTTAAGGGTAACTCTTTGAGTCATATACTCTCATCTACAAAAAAATCTGATTTTATGGATTACCATGATCCAGTCCTAGCAATACTTGATTCAAAGGATGAAGATGAGACTTTGAAAGATTATATAGAAATAGACTTTGTCCAGAAAAAGGAACCCAACACAAGTATTGCAACTATAAAAGTTAAGATCAAACACCTAAAAATTCCTGCAATGGTACTTGATAGTGGGGCTGAACCTCCAATTACATCAGAAGACATTGTTAAGCATATAAATTGGCCAATTGATAAGTCAGAAAAATATGATCTTAGCGGTGTTGCAACAGTTCCAACAGAATCTATTGGTATTGCTCGTAATTTTCCAATAACATTTTCTCCAGGTTTTACTATATATGAAGATTTTGTAGTTGTACGAGCTCCTAAACCGACATTAATATTTCCAAATCCACTTCTTAAAAAATATAAATGTGCTGTAGATTGGGGTAACGATAAAATGAAGATTCATTATAATGGAGAAGATTTTATTATTCCAGTTACTATGCACAAAGTCAAGAACAAACTTGAAGTAAATTGCACTACTGTAACTCAAGATGATAAGTCTTCAGTATCTGATTAAATTTCTCAAGAGGACAATAGTAATAAGGGGGTAATGAACTATTGGAGGAGAAATGGCACAATCCTGCAGGTTTTAGCCTAGATTCTAATGATCCAACTAAAAAAAAAAACACATGAGCTATGAGAAGTTAGAAAAATTATTATATGAGGTACTCGAATCCAAGATAAAATTAATAGATTTTAATAGAAAATTGCAACTTCATATAAATAAGTCCAAGAAGATTACCAGTATTAATATATTATATGAAATACAAAACACTCTAGAAAAAGCAAAGATAAATTAACTGGGATTTGTTGAAAGCAGTCACTTTGTGGCTAAAATTCTTTTTGATCCATATTTGATTATTTCTGATTCTTTACAATCATGCTCAATTAAAGTATACAGGTCATCTTTTTCTGCTTTTTTTGTTAGGGTATTGAGTATATCACTCTTATTGATAATATGTGTCTTGATACTAGCTCCACTATTAGATAAATCAGAAATCCGTACAGATTTATTGCTTTGCAGACCCGTAGGGACGTCTCTTTGAGACATGAGATAAGCTATACCCTTAGATCTTGGTTTTCTATTTTTAATCCACTTGTTCAGAATATTAATTTGATTAGAATTCTCAGTTATACTAGTTTCTTCAGTGAAGGTGATATGGTCAATACTTGGTGGGCATGATTTGGGGAATAATTCTGATATAGGTAAATCCTGACTTGAGGGTGTTATTGATTCTGATATAGGCTAATGCCATTCTACCATACTAACTTCCTGCTCTCTTCAAATTTTATAAAATTGGTTATTTGTCATAGGATATCTTTCTCTTAACATCTTTAAAACGTCAGTTTTAGGCTGTACATCTTGATATTGCATAATTGTTATAATAATAAAGCGCAATTCTCCGTAACTATAAAAATCTGAGAATTAAAGCCTGATATATATGCTAATATGTAATTTAAAATTTTTTTTTTCGGGTTTTGTTATTTTTTTTTAGTTTTAATATTTTTTTTTCGGTTTTGCTTTTTTTTCTTTCAGGTTTTGTTTTTTCTTTCGGGTTTGCATTTTTTCTTTTGGGTTTTGCTTTTTTTTCTTTCGGTTTTGTTTTTTCTTTTGGTTTTGCCTTTTTTTCTTTTGGGTTTAGCTTTTTTTTCTTTCAATTTTGTCTTTTTTTCTTTCGGGGTTTGCTTTTTTTTTTTGGGTTTAATATATTTTTTTTTCGGGTTTGCTTTTTTTTCTTTCGGGTTTGCTTTTTTTTCTTTCTGGTTTGCTTTTTTTTCTTTCGGGTTTGCTTTTTTTCTTTTGGGTTTTGCTTTTTTTCTTTCGGGTTTAATATTTTTTCTTTCGGGTTTAATATATATATATATATTTTTTTTCGGTTTTGTTTTTTTTTCTTTCAGTTTTGCCTTTTTTTCTTTCAGGATTTGCTTTTTTTTCTTTCGGGTTTAGTATTTTTTTTCGGATTTGCTTTTTTTTTCTTTCGGTTTTGCCTTTTTTTTCTTTCGGATTTTGCTTCTTTTTTTTCTCAGGTTTTTCAGTTTTTGGTTTTTTTATCGGTTATTTAATTTAAGATCAATTAATTTAATTATAAAGTTTATTAATTAATTGATTTAATTATTAAAGTTTAATATAGGATTAATTAATTAAGGTTTAATATAAAATTAATTGAAATTTAATATATCATTAATTATAATTTAATGTAAAATTAGTTTAGGTTTAATTTAATGCAAAATTAATTAAAATTTAATTTAAGTTTAATTTAATTTACAAAAAATCAAATAATTATTTTATTATTAATGTTAATAATTTATATTATATTTAAGTAAAAAAAAAATTTTTTTTAATAAAAAATCTTAAATTTTTAACTTAAAATTAAAAAAATTATTATATTAAATTATGCTTATATTATTATATTCAAATATTCAAATTGTTAAATATATATATTATATACTGTATTTTTTATTTTTTATTTTTTAGATATTAATATATTGTATTTTACTATTTATATAATAAAAAAAATTTAGGGCCCATGAATATTATATAATTGGAATAATACTCAAATTATTAAAGAAAAAAATTTTTGATCCAGTTTCTATATTGAGGAGAAAAAAAAAAAACTCTCCTACTGTATTTAAAATCTTTTTATAAAAAAATATTTTTATAATATTCAAAAATCTTATATAAAGATTTTTTAAAAGAAAGATTAATAAAATTTATCTTTACTTTAAATTACTTTATACAAAGATTAAAAAAGCAATTATTTATTTGCTTTATTAACAAAAATAAAAAAATAAAAACAAATAAAATTTTTTTATATTTTGTTAAAATGTCATCAAAATCCAAAAAAAATTCTCGACCAATTCCTCAACATATTTTGGATGCTAATCCAAAACCTGTCAATGAAACCAAGGAGGAAAAAAAAAAAAGAATGGCAAGAATTTATTCTGCAAAATATTATTATTATAAGCAATTGGATAAATCTTCTTCATTTCAAGAAGAAACATTTGCTGAATCTTCAACAATGGCAGGTTCTTCTTTAACAGTTTCAAACAAAAAAATCAAAACACAGGAAGCTGTTAGATTAAGAGTACAAAAACATCGAGAATCTAAAAATGTTGAGGAAATTGAGGAGGAGAGAAAAAAAAATCGTGAAAGAAAAAAAGAAAGGTATCAAAAAAGAAAAAAAGAAAAATTTAATCAATTTTATAAAATTGGTTATAATATATTAGATGAATATAATGAAAATTATATTCAAGGAGATAATATTATAAATAATAGACATCAATTGGAAAAAATGAATATTATTTGTAAATATTGCTATGCTCTAAAATGGAAAGAAGAAACTAAAGGTTTTTGTTGTTTAAATGGACAAATACAATTGGCTTCACTTGCTCCTGCACCAGAAATCTTATATAATTTACTTACTACTGAAGATCCTAATACCAATGAACCTTTTGTAAATCAAATACGAGCATATAATCAAGTTTTTGCATTTACATCTATTAGAACTCAATTGGATATGGATCTTGCTAATGCTAAAGAAGGTGTATATACATTTAGAATACAAGGTGAACTTTATCATCAAATAGGTTCACTTATGCCCCACTCAGGTCATGAACCTAAATTTGCTCAAATTTATTTTTATGATTCTACAAATTATATTAATCAAGTCAATAGACGATATAATATAATGAATAAATCATTAAATTATGAAATGTTAACTGAACTTCAAAAGGAATTAGTTGATATCAATCCATTTGTACATGCATTTGTAAGTGCAGGAATGATAGAAGAATCTTCAAACCAGGATGTATTAAGTATTGTAATTCATAATACTCATGGTAAAGATATGAGATTATATAATGCACCAGCTACAGAAGAAATTGCTGCTATTAGTTTGGAAAATGCTGAAAAACAATATGAAAGAGATATTCTAATTAAAAGATTTAATGATAAACTTGAAAGAATATCTGAATTAAATGGTGCATATGATTCTTTACAATATCCACTTTTATTTCCTTTTGGAGAATATGGCTGGCATGATGGAATCTGGAGAGCAAATGTACAAGAAATTGAAACTGAAACAGTTGAACATGAAGAGTTACATACAGGAACAAGTCAATTTTTTGAAGAACTTGCTCTTGAATCTTTCTCTAGCATAAGTGAGTTGGAACAAGGATCTAAAGAAAAAGAAAAAATCATAGAAATTGATTCAGATAATAATTTATCACAATCTGATGATAATTTATCACAATCTGATAATGATTCATCACAATCTGATAATGAAAATATAAAATTATCAAAAATTAAACAAAAAAATAAATCTAAAAGAGTTACAATTAGGGAATTTGTAGTTTATAGATTCATGATCAGAGATTCAAACAAATTAAAAAGTATTCTTCATCTTGCAGGAAGATTATTTCAACAATATATTGTGGATCAATATGTTAAATGGGAAAGCAATAATTTAAGATGGCATTCTCAGAATCAAAAACAATTTAGATCTGAAATTTATCAAGGATTAGGTGATATGATTT